AGGCTGGGAGGGAGGACGGGGACGAGCCCAGCCGCTCCCTCATGGCGTCCCCCAAACACCTCCACCAGTGCTGTGATCAAAGATGCTTCACCAGCAGCTTCAGTTCTTCTATTTCAACACAGCCCCAGTACAGGGACTCACACCCTGCACAGATGGCAGTCGGTGACTGGTACTCACCAGGGAGATGCTCCAGCTCTGGTTTTGCTGACTACAAGATCTCTCCAAGCTGGACACAAAGCCAGCAGCAGCTCACCTTGTAGGAGGCCTTGCTCAGCATGCTGTCGCTGCGGCAGTTGGAGGTGTTAAACGGCATTTTGGAGGGGTCGTCTTTTTTGAACCAGGAGGGAACCAGGCCCCAGCGCATGTCCATGAGGACCCGCTCGGAGGAGTCGGCATCCTTGTGAAGGAGACAGAGGAAGACTCTGGGTCAGAGCCACGTCATGGGGACCACGAGCACCCCTACAGCCCGAGAGGGGCTTCATGGAGCCCTGTGAAAGCGGCTTCTCCCCCCCTGTGCAGAAATAGCTGCTTGTTAGAACCCTTTGCATATTGTTAATGGCTTTTCTGTAAGAATTAATGCTCAGCAGAAAGCACAACAGGGATAAATAACAGCCAAGTGCCTCGGTGAGGCTCCCCCCCCCGCTTCCTTCGGGTACCAACGTGGGTTTTCAAAAAAAACTGCCGTGTGCGTCTGGCGTTGGGGTACTCAGTGCTTCCACCTTCACAGTAAGCGTCCCGGGGGGGCAAACCAAACCTCACCTTCATTTGAATAACGTGATTTCTGCTGGTCTGGGTCCCTGTCACCCCTGTGCTTTGCACATCACCTGCCCTCAGACAATGGTTGTGGCTTTCACTTCCCCCCAGATCGCTCTTGCTTTCTTCCCGCAGCGCATGGCTGGGGAGTAAGGCCCAAAGTACAGACGCAGATACACACACAATGTACTATAGGTGCACGTATATAGAGACAGGTACGTTTTGTGGAGGCTTCCAGAGCCTCCCACAGCTGAGGAGTGGGAAAAAGGGCACCTCTCACTGTGCCTGCATCCTTCAACATGGTCAGAGAAAGCAGGTGTCTGCTGATGGCTGGTGTCACACTCCCAGCCCCACGTTCCTCTGCTCCAGGAGCTTGTTGGCTGCTTAAGGGAGATCACAGAATCATCACGGAATGGTTTAGGTTGAAGGAACCTTAAAGCTCATCCAGTCCCAACCCCTGCCACGGGCAGGGACACCTTCCACTAGAGCAGGTTGCTCCAAGCCCTGTACAACCTGGCCTTGAACAGTGCCAGGGATGTAGGACCCCAAGGCAGGGCAGGAGGGAAGCCTGGATCAGGGGGGTTCAATTCAGTGCACCAAGCTTCGCCCTGCTGAGCACGGAAGAGCCGCAGCTCACCGGGCACCCTCTCATGTGGAAATCAAGCGAGATGCACGACCAGCCGT